CTCAGACAGTCCATCAAGTTGAAAAGATTGTCCGCGCGAAAATGCGTTACAAAATACCGATAGTGGAAGAATTGACTAATTGCTAGCGTAATTATCCAAAACACTCTGATGACTAGAACGCATGATATACCCGGCCAGACGCCAAACATGGTGAGCATGAGCTCTACCGTGCGATTGATCGTACGTCTGCTAGTCATAATTTCGTATTTTTCTTTGCTTCGGGAGTTTTATGCGGGAAAAAGCATCAAACTATAGCAATAGGACAAACACTTTCAGGAAGATAAAGTATGCTTCAATGTATTTCTCCAATGACAAGCTCGAGACGTGTATTCTAGAATAACTGCGTAAAGACTGGGAGGCCCTAAGAGATTATCAAATGGGCGATCCCTATAGTGATCGACCAATGAGAGACCTTCATTAAATATTTTTATGCAGCATGCAATCCTCGAGCACGCTTCTTATGGCTAATCACTAGTTGTAAGAAGAGGGAGCGTGTAGGGTCATCTCTTCTTCCCTCGTATGTTCGTGATGCAACCGCGCATTGGCTAGTTTAATATGCAATGATTCGTGTGCGAATGTAAATGCGATGTACGTCCGATGTTCAGTCATACGGCAAGGTACGTCAGGAAAGTTTTGAAGTTTGAACGGGAGAGAAGCCAAAAACGGCAAAGAAATCTAAACGCGGCGTTACGGAAATATAAATTTTTTTGCGACAGTTTATTTGTGCATTTGTGAGAATATTTATGAGGAATTAACAAAGAGTGTAGATGGCATAAGTAAAAGTGAATGCGAAATGATGTAACGTGTGTTAATACGTGCAAAAATATGTTTCAGATATCAGAAAGCTGTTCTAAACAAAATGTTTTTAAATAAAAACCGTGAATGTGTAGTGTTACATCAACAAGACGAATATCACAATTGTTTTTGATATATGAAAATGGGGATAAATTATAATAATTATGAATTAAGCATTATAACGCTACATTATTATTTTATATTAG